TTGGGTAAAAGTTTACAGAGTACATTAGTTTTTCATTAAGCAAATATATGTATTTTATTTGCAATATTAATTGAAAATCCATCAATATAATAGCATTCCATTAATTTAGGTTTAAATACATGCTTACAGTAGACACACCTACAAGGTGAGTAGTAACACCAGAGTGACACTCAGACCTTAGAACAATCAACCATACAAGAGCAAAGATAGTTGCCCAAGCATAGAGCTCAAAAGAGCAAGAAGGGAGAGGAAAGAGAGAAGAATGGAAACAGGAGTCACAAAGATGGTTATAATGTGGAAATTATAATCAGTGTCACAAAACAAAAATATGGGGAGTAATCAAAGTGATAGATAGGGGAGGGGTGGGTTAAAGAAATGGGAAAAACAATGCGTACAAACTTTGTAAACAAACTAGCATAAAATGTTGTTGTTGTTATGCGCCATCGAGTCGCTTGCGACTTATAGCGACCCTATGTTCAAGAGCTCTAGACACTCTTCTATCCTGTGCCAACCTAGCCATCTCAAATGCACTTATTCCCATCTCTCTAGTCACCTAATCGATCCATCTCATCAAAGGTCTTCCTCTCCTTCACTGCCCCTCCACTCTGCCAAACATGATGTTCCTCTCCAAGGACCAGTCCCTCCTTGCAACATGCCCAAAGTATGTCAGATGAAGCTTCAGATTCCTTGACTCCAGGGAACATTCTGGCTTCACCCTCTCCAGGACAAACCTGTTTATTCTCCTAGCAGTTCATTGTATATTCAACACTCTTCTCCAGCACCACAGCTCAAAGGCATCAATTCTCTTTCTATCAACCCTAGTCGCTGTCCAACTCTCTGATGCATAGCACGTAATTGCGAAGACTATAGCCCGGATCAGGCGCACCTTAGTCTCCAGCCTGATGTCGTTGCTCTTCAGTACTCTTGAGAGGTCCCTCACAGCCGACTTTCCCAATGCAATTCGTCTCTTGATTTCCTGGCTGCTGTTACCAAGAGTGTTGACTGCGGAGCCAAGTAAACTAAAACTGTTAACTATCTCAATCTCTTCACCGTCCATACTGATGCTGCCAATTGGCCCAGGGGTGAGAATCTTCGTTTTCTTGATGTTGAGCTTCAATCCATATTGAAGGCTGCAGTCCTTGACCTTTGGCAGCAAGCACTTCAGGTCCTCCTCAGTTTCAGCAAGCAGACTGTGTCATCTGCATAATACAGGTTGTTGATGAGTCTTCCACCAATCCTGATGCCACATTCCTCTTCGTATAGCCCAGCATCTCGGATGATCTGTTCTGCATACAGATTAAAAAGGTATGGAGACAGATACATCCCTGACTAACTCCCTTCTTGATTTTGAACCATGTAGTGTCTCCTTACTCTGTTCTGACAACTGCCTCTTGGTCCGAGTATAAGTTTCGCATTAGCACAGTCAAATGTTCTGGGATTCCCATTCTTCTCAGAGTCAGCCACAGCTTGTTGTGATCCACACAGTCAAAAGCCTCTGCATAGTCAAGGAAGCACAGATACACATTCTTCTGGTATTCTTTGCTTTCTGCTAAGATCCATCTAACGTTAGCTATAATATCCCTAGTACCACGACCTCTTCTAAATCCAGTCTGCACATCTGGCAGTTCTCTGTTGACATATTGTTTCAAACGTTTTTGGATAATTTTCAGCAGAATCTTGCTTGCATGGGATATCAATTATATTGTTCAATAATTTCCACACTCTGTTGGGTCACCTTTCTTTGGGATGGGAACAAATATCGATCTTTTCCAGTCAGTGGCCCAGCTGGCTGTTCTCCAGATTTCTTGGCAACATTTTATATTACAATAACCCAACCAAAATACATACAGAAAGTTGAATGAAATACCAGTTTGCTCTATAAAATGTCCTTCAAATCATAATTAAAAGATCTGTGAGGGTTTTCTTTTCTAAAGAGATTTTTTGTTAAGTGAAAGGAAAAAGAACTAGTGGACCAAATGACCCTCAACCATGTAACTCTGAAACCGAAGAACTAGATGGTACTTTAGCTACCAGCCCTGGTCACTCTCAAAGGGATCACAATAGAAGGTCCTGGAGAGAATGGAAGAAAATGTGGAACAAAATGAAAAAATATAAAAAGGGCCAGGCTTATGGTTTATTGGAGACCGGTGTAACCCCTAAGTGTATAGCCATTCATCACCCTTTAAACCTGGAGCAAAATTTACCCCTGTGGATTAACTTTTAGTCAGACAAAAGACAGGTCTATAAAGTGGCCAATACCACCAGGGAGGCACATATTCTTTAGAATACCGATCACAAAAGAGCAGCATTTGTCCAAGGTGAAAGCCCAGGGAGCAAGAAGGAGCAGGCTAGAAGGATTAAGGGAAAGGAGAATTAGAGGAAGGAAGTAAAAAGGACAATTTTCTTGTAACTGTTTCGATTAATTACTTCATTACTTAATCTTTTCAAGTACATCTTATTCATCTGAAAGTTGGACAATGAATAAGGATGACAGAAGCAGAATCTATGCCTTTGAGTTGTGGCATTAGAGAAGCACAGTGAATATCCCATGGACTGCCAAAAGAACAATGAGTCTGACTTGGAGGAAACATAACTGGGGTGCTCCTCAGAGGCAAAGAGGCACTTCATCTCACATACTTTGGACATTTTGTCAAGAAGGGGCTGATCCTTGGAAAATTACATAATACTGGGAAAGGTCAGTGAAAGAAAGAAGACATCCAGCAAGACGGGTTGACACAGTGACTGCAACATTGGATGTTAGCATATCAGAGATTGGGAGGTTGACGCAGGAGAGGAAAGAAAAGCTCACTTCTGGTGATTACAGAGTTGCTATGAGTGTGGTCAACTCAATGGCACATGACAACAATGATAACATTGCAATTAGGTTATAAAACAAGATGCATAGAAATGGTTACATAAAAAAAAAAACCAGTTTGCGTTGTAAACTTTCACTCAATTCGCACACTAAAAAGCAGGGGTGAGGGAAGCAACACCACCATCATCACCACCACTCTCCCCTCAAAACTGCGTGTCATTATACATGTATCTGTATGTGAATATATGCATATTGGTCTATATATGTATATACTTAGATATAATGTAGTGAGCTGTGCTGTTAGCTGAAACTTCTCTGGTGGTTTGAATCCACCAGCAGCTTTTTGGGAGAAAGATGGACAATATCCTCCTGTCTGACTTACAGTCTCCGAAAAACTCCTGGAGGGTCAGCTCTGAGTCAGCTCAAACCTGACAGCATGACCTTGACTTTTGATAAGTATATATGCAGGAGCCCTAGTGGTATGGTATATTATGTGTTGGATCACTAACCAATCAGCAGTTAATGACCACTAGCCACTTGAAAGGAGAAAGATGGCCATGAATTGGAACGGGCTCATCAGCAGTGTGTTTGGAATTTTTTTTCAATGTGTTTATAGATATTGTGGTATGGGTGCGTGTGTTTGTGTTATTTATGTATATATAAACCATAGACATTATATAAACCACAATTATGGATATTTCTAAGACATAATCAAACACTTTATGAGCGTTGGTTTTCTGGATTTATGGGATAATTCAGTCAATTTACATAATAGAGTTCATAAACTTTATGCTGTACATCATAATTTGGCCATTAGTATCTAGGTTCTTAAAAGCTTGTGAGAAGCCATCAAAGACACAACTACTGGCCTTAGCTTGGCCAGAAAAAGGGGGCCCTGGTGGCATGATCTGTAGTGAGCTGTGCTGCAAACTCAAAGACTCCAGATGCATCTCCAGAGGTTTGAGTCCACCAGAGATTTGAATCCTCCCAAGAAGAAAGAGAAGACTCTCCTCTGGTGCATTTATGGCCTCAGAAACCTGATAGAGGGTCAGCTATAAGATTTATCTTGCAGGCAAATGAATGAATAAATGTCCAGAACAAAAAGAGAAAGCAAGAAAGCAAAGCCTCAGAGAAGTAGAATCGACAGAAGTAACAACAGTCTACATAAAACATGGCCTCATTTATCATGAGACCAGAAGAACTAGATGATGTCCAGCCACCACTGCTTCCCATTTGGGACAAGGCCACAATAGCTGGATCTAGGTAGAATGGGAGAAAAATGTGGAACAAGTCAAACTCTTAAAAAGTTCCGACTTATGGACTTGTTGAGATTAGAGGACTCCCTGAGAACATTGTACTGGGATACTCTTTAAAGCGTGAAACAAAATGAGCCCTTGAGGTTATCTTTTACTTCCATAAGATAATGGCTAATAATAATTAAGCCTATGAACTATGAGTATGGTGATGCTTAAAAATAAAAAACACCTATATGACACAAAATTGTAATAGTGACCCTAAAGCAAAAATGAGAAAGCAAGAGGGTATAGAAATGAGATTACTGGAAGCTAACCAACCATGAAAGAATGGATGATAATGTTGACACATTGTGAAAAATGTGCTCAATGTCACTGAATAGTTTGCAAAGTTGTTAAAAGGAGACCTAAGCTTCTGTTAAGGTTAAGGATTTCTGTTACATGCTCACTGAAAACAAATTTTTAAAAATAAAAAAACAAAACTGAAGGTAAGATGAAGGAAAAATAAAAAAGATTATTAAATTTTTTCACTGTATCATAAAAATCTAACAAAGAAATGAAGTTCATATCTTCACACATAAAATGAAACCTAGGAAATGGAAGCAACAGAGAATGTTGGATAGAAATGTATAGTGTTCGCCAATGCTAGTTCTTTTAGCATATGGAACTTAAAAGTCTAAGAAATGTCAGTCTAAGAGGTTAAGATGAAAATTTCCCTGCAGACATTTGTCAAAATTTAAATTTCACATTCAAGTTCTCAGTCTGTGAATTCTGCAATGCCAGTGGCTCTTCCAGGGAAATATTTATAATGTAAACAAATTAGCCCCAAGGAGTCATAGGACCATAACACTTCCAGGAAACTTGATCTTTAGAGAATAGTTACAGGATTTTTCTTCTTTCTATCTTGTTTATAAACACACTGATTCACCAACCTGTAAGACGTAAAGTATGATGACCGCCAGTCCAACCCAGCTGTGCAGACTGTACATATTAGGGATTTTCATGGTATTGTGGAAATCAAAAGCTGCCACCACAGCAGTAATTGCAAGAATGGCAGCAATGGCGTTTAAGCTTGCATGAATTAATTTCATCAGGAACTTGCTGCATTTCCAGGTCCATGGCAGTCTGTATACGATGATGGCTAAGGAGAGAGGGAAAAGAACAGAATGTTTTTGTTGGTTTGTTTTGGGTTTTTTAATTTTGTTTTACATCAACCCAAGATGACCAGTTACATGAACTGGACATTACCTTTCTTAAAGACTTTCCTCGTGGCCTCTGCTTCCCTCCACCACCCCATGTCACCCTGTCTCTCCAGTGTCTCCTGCCAACTTTTCTGTGTGTTCATGTGGGTGTTCCTCAGGTTCAAGGCCACAGCACTTCCTCCTTCTGTACCCTTGATGAAGGTGATCTCATTCACTCCCCCACTAAGATGATATCCATATGCCAGAAACCCAAGCCCAGAACTTTCTGCCAAAATCTAGAGCCACATTCTAACTGCTTAACTGACAATGCCTTATAATGCCTCCCAAATACCTTAAACATAATACAGCCAAACCTATTTTTTTAAAATGTTTTAAATTTTATTTTATTATTTTTATGTGAACCACCAAGTCAGATCTGACTGGTACAGGAGGAGAATGCACCCTCCTTCTCCAGCAGAGCATCTGGTGGATTTGAACCACTTATCTCTGGGATTGCAATGCAGTGTCTTGCCACTAAGCCACCAGAGCTCCCTTAAACCTAAATTTTTTATGATCTATTTTCCCCCGTCCGACAATACAAATCTAGACAAAAGATTGAAATAGATATTTCACAGAGGATTATATCCAAGTGGTCAGTAGGCATAGAAAAGGTAAACAGCTTCATTATTCTTTAGGAAATGCAAATTAAAGGGTAAAGACAATAGGTACCACCCACCTGAATGGATAAAAACAGAAAATACCAAGTATTGGAGAGGATGTGATGTAATCAGAAAGCTCATGCTTGCCTGATGAAAGTATAAACAAGAGCAAACACTTGGAAAAACTGGCAGTACCTACTTAAGCTAAATTTATGCATCTTTACAATCCAGCCACTCCGCTTTGGATATATGCCGTAAAGAAATAGATACATACATACATCAAAAGGCCTGTATTGGAATAATATTAATAGTACTATTTATAGTAGTCCCAAATTGGAAACTTCTCAAATGCTCATCACCAACCAGAACAATCAATCAATCAATCAATGGATATTTTCATAACAGAGAACAATATACAGCAATGAATAACATATAAGTATACATAAGGATGCAAATCAACACACGACAACCCCAAGAAACCAAAAACAGATAATTATCTCCTAGATGAGCAATCTCCTCCTGTGCAATTAAATATTTCTGAAAAACCGCCGGAGGGTTCAACTATGGGTAGGTTCTGACTTGATGATACACAACAACAACAACATGATTAAATTTATATAAAGTACAGGTAAAACACATCTCATAAGGTTGTTGTTAGGTGAAGTCGAATTCCTAAGTGTTCTGGTTTCGACTAGATTTTTTTCTTTTTAGAATTCCATATATTTTTTTAAATAAAATTTTTATTTTATACTGGTTTACTTACAAAGTTTGTATACATTGTTTTTCACACTGGAACTTTCCCCTTCCCTCCACCCATTAATTGTGCGACCATATGATTAAAAAAACCCCTTCTGCTCCCCTCCCCGCCTTGGAACCTCATACACATTCTACAATAATGGTCTTACATAGTATTTGTCTTTATGGGACTGAGTTAGTTCCCTCAGCATAATGCTCTCCAGTCCCTCCCTAGTTAGGTAGTAATTTACAAAATTATTACTGCGTAGTATTCAATTGCGTGAATGTACCATAATTTCTCAACCTATTCCATTTTAGTTGGACATTTGGGCTGTTTCCATGTTCTTGCTATGGTAAATATTGCTGCTACAAACATTGGTTGACAAGTTTCTGTTTGTGCCTCAGTTCTCATTTTCTCAGGGTATATTCCAAGCAGTGGAATATTTGGGTCATAGAATTCCTATGTTCGGCTTTTTGAGAAAACACCAAACTGCCTTCCAGAGTTGTTGTTCCATTTTACAATCCTACCAAAAATGTGTAAGAGTTCCCATTCAACATTATTTGATGCGCTGCTAAATTTTGCCACTGTTACTGGGGTAAGATGTTATCTCATTGTGCTTTTGATTTGCATCTCTCTTATTGCCAGTGATTTTGAGCATTTCTTCATTTGTCTGTTGGCCCCCTAAATGTTTATACTACATAGCATAGCCCCTTCAATCAGTGTGCAATTGATTTTCATTCTAAAGATATTTTTTATTAATATTAAGGAAAGTTTACAAAGACTTTGGATTTCCATTCATTCATTGTTGCACTTTTCTCCCTGCCCACCCCTCCCCCGCAGTTCACTCTTCTCTTTGAAAAGTAAAAGAAAAAATTCTTTCATTGTTATACAGTCCCTCCCCCCCGCCCCAAGTCCAATCCACTGGGCAGCTGTAGTTCTGGACTCCTGTCATGACAATAATACCTAATCATATATCCCTTTTAAACAGTTCTCTCCCTCATCTGTTTCAATGCAGTTATTGTTTCAATACATTATTTATCCCCTCTTTCTTAGTCTCCCCTCAATCCTGATGTCAGTCTTGTTTTACAACAGTGGCATGATGCACTATTTGTCCTTTTGTGACTGAGATATTTCACTCATCATAATGTCCTCTAGGGTCATCCAGTTTACATAGTATTTTATTAGTTCCTTATTTTTCAATGCAGCCTAATATTCCATTGTGTGAATATACCACAGCTTCTCTATCCATTCCTTTGTTGATGGACACTTGGATTGTTTCCAACTCTTTGCTATTGTGAACAAAGCTGCAATAAACATGGGTGTGCATAAAGATAATATTCTACTCACCCTCAACCCTCTTCTCTATGTCAGAAAAAAATCTGGATATTTGCATTGTGGACAGAAAAAAATTTAAATAATTCTTCCTTAGAAGATAGATTCAACTATATCGTCAGTACTCTTCTTAATTCCTAGCAAGTTTTTTGGGGGGAGGGAAGATAAAAGCTTCTCTCTACCAAAAATATCCATATTTGTGTACATAAAACATCGTAGTATCAACACCATTTTGACCTCTGCACGTGGGCACTTGGCATCCTTCTCAGACCACTCAACAAACAACTGTTTCTTTCTTGGGACTAGCTTCTTTCTCTATCAACTCTTTTTGCTATTTAACAACAGCAACAAACCCACCCCCCCAAACCCTATCACAGTATCACTTTAAGGAATTATTCATGCCATTTCAGGTAACTGTTGTGAAGTGCCATCAAGTTGAGTATGACTCATAGTAACCCTATGAATGATAAACTTGAACCCTATCCTATCCTGTGCCGTCCTCATCATCTCTGACACATCTGAGGTCATTGCTGCAGCCACTGTGTCAATCCATCTTATTGAGGGTCTTCCTTTTTTTTGCTGACCCTCCACATTTCCAAGCATGATATCCCTTTCCAAAAAATATCCTCTTCTACCAATATGTCCAAAGTATGTGAGATGAAGCTTTTCCATCCTTGACTCCAACAAGCACTCTGATTTCACTTGCTCCAAGACATATGTTTGTTCTTTTGGCAGTCTATAATTTATTCAGCACCACGCCACAATGCAAAGGCATTGTAGATTCTTCTCCTATCACCCTTATTCACTGTCCAGCTCTCAGATGCATAACGGCAAGTGATTAGAAAGGCTATGGCCTAAAGCAGGTGCACTTTAGTCTTTAGACTGACACCAAGGCTCTTCAGAATTTGATGAGATCACTGATAGCAGATTTTCCCCATGCTACTTACGAATGCACTAGTATGCATGTCTTTCTAAACAGATTATACTTCAGGTGGAATCATAGCTAAGTCCACCAAAATGAAATGTGAACTCTGCTCCTTTAAAACTTTCAGTACAAAATGTCAGTTTTCCAATATTTTGATGCTGTTCCAATGCTTAACAGTAGGGTTTAAAAAGTGTTTTCCCAAATACCAGATTATTTTTGTTGTTGTGTAACATCGAGCCAGAACCGACCTGTAGATAATACCATGGCACGTTTTCAGAGGCAGCTAATTGCATGGGAGGAGATTGCCAATCCCTCTCCAGCAGAGCAACTTGTAGGATTCGAACCGTGTGCTTTTGGCATTACAGCACAGTTTCTTGCCACTAGGCCACCAGACTGGAACCTTGCAATATGACCTAATTTGTAAATAGTCTTACCAGATAAAATCCGTTAAGATGAGGTCATACCAGAGTAGGGTGGCCCCTAAATTCAATGTAACTGTGCCCTTTATAAAAGGAAAGAGGAAATATAGGCATGCACAGAAGGGAAGGTCATGTGAAGAGAGATAAAAATTAGAGTGTTGCAGTTACAAGCAGAATAGCCAGCAAATAGTATCCTTCCTTCAAGTCTTCTGACAAAGCATGGTCCTGCCAATACTTTGATTTTGAACTTCTAATCTTATAATTATGAAAGAATAAACTTTCATGTTAAGTCACTAGTTTATGGTAATTTCTTCACTTGATCTTAGCCAAAAGGCTGAGAAGCGATTATGGTAATTTCTTATAGAAGGAAGCCAGGGAAAATGAATATAACAGTTTTTACCATCCAGATATTATCCCTTTTACCTAATCCACTCCTTCCAGGATTAATATTTTCTAATTTTAGTGCTGTAAATCACACAGGAGGAGATTGCCATCTTTCTCCCTTAAAGCAGCTGGTAGATAAAAACTGAGTACCTTTGAGTTGGCAGTACAACTCTTTACCACTAAGCAACCAGAGTCCCCCTACACAACTGGAAGTCAATTAATAAGGATGCAGATAAAGCAATGCTTTTGAGTTGTGGTGCTGGAGAAGATATTGGATATTCCATGGACTGCCAAAAGAACACATAAATATGCTAAGAAAGAGCAGTGAGAGCGTTCCTTAGGGACAAGGATAATGAAACCATGTCACTTACTTTGCTCATATTTTCGGGTGGAACCAGTCCTTGAAGAGAGACAACATGCTGGGGAAGGTCAAGAAAAGAGAGAAAGATCCTCAAGGAGATGGATTGGTACAGTAATGATGACACAATGGGCTCACGCATTACAC